TATAAAGCAGGGTTCAAATAAAAGTCTTGATTATTTTAGTTAGGAAGTAATAACAATTCATTAATAAACATTATAGTATCAGTTTGTTAATAAATTATACTGCAGTAGTTTCATTTTATAAGTGTATACCATGATGCATTTTTTTGTTTTTTGTTTCTTTATTGACATTAGAGAGAGAGGAAGGGCGAAGGAGAGGTTGGCCACCTTCTACATGCCTCCTACTGGGGATCAGGCCCACAGCCTGGGCATGTGCCCTGACTGGGAATTGAACTGGCAACATTTTGGTGCATGGGTCGACACTCAACCACCGAGCTACACTAGCCAGGCCATAATGTGTTTCTTTTTGTTGTTGTTTTTTTCTTTTTTTGGTACGTGCCCCTAGCAGGAACGGAACCTGGGACTCTGGTCCGCAGGCTGATGCTCCAACTGCTGAGCCAAACCAGCCAGGGCATGTTTTTTTTGTTTGTTTGTTTTTGTTTTTTTTATGTCAATAACTTAACTCCCTCTGTCATAGAAATGCCACTTCTTCCAAGGACTCCTGTTCCCTGGTGACTTGAGTATGTGCTGCTCAGACTTTGATTATGAGTTTATTTATTAGTTTACAGAACTGTCTCTCCCAGTAGATGGTGAGTCCACAGAGGTAAGTACTACTTTCTATTAAATGTTCTAGGTCTCAGCAGAGAGCTCACTATGTAAACATGTAAAAAATGACGGAGAAAGGATATAATCCAAGAAGACTGAAATGATATCGTCCACTCCTCTGTTCCTATCCTTTGTCCAAATATGTTGTTCTGGTGTAGGAGGCAGTGGATTGCTGGATAAATAGATTCAATATCTAACATTTTAAACAACCAGCGCCTAGCACTGCCAGATGAAAAAGCCTGAGCTGCACAAATGCATTCTGAAAAGCAAGCTCCTCTCTGACAGGACAAAGGTAGAGGACATGAGGACTGTAAGGCTTTGGGGCTGACTTTTCACGTGTGCTGTGTCAAGTCAAGCTTTACCGTCATGCCTTAGAAATTAAGAGGCTTACCTCGATATCTTTAATTAGTAGACCCTATGTAAAAAGAGAGCTGAATTCTTTCTCTGAAAATGTTATTATAAACACAATGTGGCTTTCCGAAAGACAGACTGTAAACAGGTAGCACTGAATGAATGGAAAGTCCATTCTTCAAAATAAAAAGCAGGGGCAGAAAGTATGGAATAAGCCAGAAAACAGGAAAGAAAGCAGCACAAACGACTCCAAAGGGATAGTGAACAGGACATGTCTGACGTTAAAACTAGTTAATACCAGTTATGCTAAACATATTTATGAAATAGACTGAATAGCTTAAGAACAGAATTCCCACTCATATAAGATATTTACTTTAAGCTTCTTATCTAATCATTGAACAAATTCTTAAGTTTGTACCAAAATTATGTTCACATTTCTAGAAACTGGCAAATAAGCTGTTTAGCAATACTCCTGCATCCGAATTCATTTCAGTTGACACCAATGATAACAATTAAGAAATGCTAGGAAGTCTTTGAAGGGTATATTATTATGCAAAGTAACACGAACATATCTGTATGTCAAACGATGAGAAAACTATACTCCTTAGTTCTAACAGGAAATAGGGTTCAAATTCTTAATTTTTCATACTTAAACTAAGAGTTTAGCCCTGGCCGGTTTGGCTCAATGGTTAGAGCGTAGACCTGCGGTCCAGAGAGACCCGGGTTTGGTTTCTGCTTAGGGCGCGTGCCTCGTGCCTCTGCTGCAATTTGTCCCCGGCCCTGGCTGGTCGTGTGGGTGGCAGCCACTCGATGCGTCCCTTTCACATCAATGTTTCTCTCTCTCTCTCCCTCCCTCCCTCCCACTCTATCTGAACAAAAAATGGAAAAATATCCTCAGGTGAGGATAAAAAAGAGTTTATCATCTATGCCTAGAAAAGAATTCTTAAAATACTATTACAAAATTAAAGTGTAACTTGGGGTATTTTGTTTTACAGTGTCCGTTACTTGAACAACCTGAGTGCTGAACTAAGTTAGACTAGTAGGTTCAACATATCAGTATTACATACTTTTGGTATTAACATGTTCAGTACTGCATATACATACATGTGAAATGGGTCCATATGAAGGTTGCATGGCTAAAAATAGCACTCAATAATATTGATAAAATTAGCTTATTTATTTATTTTTATCCTCACCCGAGGACATTTTTCCATTTTTTGTTCAGACAGAGTGGGAGGGAGAGAGAGAGAGAAACATTGATGTGAAAGGGACACATCGAGTGGCTGCCACCCGCACGACCAACCAGGGCCGGGGACAAACTGCAACCGAGGTACGTGCCCTTAGCGGGAACCGAACCCGGGTCTCTCAGGCCGACGCTCTAACTGCTGAGCCAAACTGGCCAGGGTGATAAAATAGCTCACATGCATCATTCTCAGAGAGTGTGAAAAGAAAAGTTCTGTAATCACAACAGAACTGGGCTCTGCCTACACTCCCCCCCTCCCCCCCCCCCCCCCGTAACTGTGAACAGTGTGGGTACTGCTCTCCAGGTACACTTCTGCTTCCTGTGTAGTCACCACCATTGTCACGGGGACTGGCCCTTTGCTGTGACAACAGTATGTGTAATTACAGTCTAAGGGTTGAGGCCAAACTCCCAGATCTAGAGTACATGTAGAAAATCCACAGTCGCAGAGGACAAATTTTATACCCAATAATGAATATTATGAGGCAGTTAGTAAGTGGTCAGGACCAAGAGTGTCGGAGTCTAGGGTAATAGTGATCAGTTAAATGGCTGGTCCACGTTGCATAGGGAAGAAAATCTAGGTATTCCGATTGTCCTACTACTGTGAGTTTTGGGAAATGCAAGATTACACACGATGACATCACTTCAGAGATAAGGACATGTGGCTTTTCCCCTGATGACTCATTATGGATTTATCACCCATCAGGGTATCTAATATTTTTGCAAATTGGGCTATAGCTTTAACATATATTAATTCCTGAGGTTATGGCTTTCATTAGTCTATAAACATCTGTGTAAAAGTAAAATATAACATCCTTGAAAAGAAAATTAAGCTGAATTACCTTTGACTCTCTCTCCTGGGATGGAGATGAGGAATAAATATGTATATACTCAGACACCCACAACCACACACATATATATTTTCTTTCTAAACTGCATTATTTCTTGAATGTGCACATTGAAGCTTCCCAAACTGTCACTTGTTGCTTGTGTCACCTCACACATTTTTAAGCGAATGTCCTAGACGTTTTACATGATCAGCTTGGCATTTCATTTGTTCAGCTTGAAATGGTCTCAGAGCAATTTTCAATATCCTCCAAATCCTAACTAAATTCCTCCACCATATCTCAGAAAACACCTCACTGGTAACGGGAAGGTGGTGCACAGTTTGGAGTTCTCAGACCTCCAGGAGTCCACAAGTTGTAATGTTAATTTCTTTTTTTTGTCAGTTAAAACAGCAATTTTATTGTCCACAGTATTTAAAAAATGCTTAAGAAACTGTAACTATCACAATAACCAGTCTCTAGGAAATTCTGTCCTTTACGCAGCTTCATCCAGGGCGTACAGCTATGTCAGTAAACATACCAGACAATGAACTCGACTCTCTGTCCTGTATATGTTTCCCAACACCCGCCCTGGGCAAAGCTGTTCATGTAGAACACTGTTAATAGGTCTTCACTAGCTATATGAACAGTAATCACAAAATCAAAGTTTCTTAAACAACACATCTCTGACTACATTAACTGGCAGGATTCAGAAAAGCGAGAGGTTTTCCTGGGCCTCTGCTTGATTTTTACTCCTATAACTACAAACGCTTAGATCCTCAGAGGATCTATGAAGGCAGACATGAGGTCAGGTGTGGTATTACCAGAATATCTCCGACCAGTGCAAAGAGACACGTAATACAAATTCTGTGAAACACCCGTGGCTCGAAGACCTTCTTGTCTCATCTGTAAGTGATGACATCTTTCTGCCCGTCAGTGCCCACGGCAGTGCCAATGGACAAATATCAAAAATAACCCTGGATCAAATATACATTTATGGAAGGGGATTTCTCTGGTCCCCTGGTGGCAACGGTAACTGTTTACTTCACTGTACTCAGTCTCGGGGAGTTCCTAACATACTGTACTGGTGTCTGATATCAGGGATCCTCCATTTTCAGCAGAGGGGGGAAGTAATCTCTGCACTCAGATGGGGCTATTTACACAGTGTTGAAATGCAGCAACAGTCACCAGAACACGTTTTCCTTCCAATTTTTGTTGCAATCTGTCACTGTTGAAATTTACATTTCAAACAAAAACATGATAGAGCATGCTTTCATTTGCTTTGTATGACATACAAAGTGTTTACTGTGTAAACTTATACCAAAATGTCTTCATCATCTTCATGAAAACTTAGCTGTATATGTGTGTTTAACTGTGTGTGAAATACATTAAAGATTCAAACCATGTTATCTAGTATGGTTAGCTATGTATAGGCAGTATAATCTAAATAGGTGCTTCAAACTACAGAATCGCTACTGTAACACCATTTACTGGAACTCTTTTTAAAGCAATGTTAAGGATCCTTAAATATATATATATATATATATATAATTTTTCTTTCTATAGGTTTAAATTTACATTTTTATTATTGTGATTAAAGGTAGGGTGCATAATGAAAACAGTGAGCCCTGCACAGAACTATGGAAGCAAATAAAGGTCATAGACTATCAGCTGAGTAAAAAGCACTTGGTAACTCCTCCTCAAGAAAATGGGTTTACCTTTCATTTCCTATAAGGTGGTTTTCTAAAAAGTAAATTAGTATTTGTTATTTTTAGTTTATCAGCTACACACTTCACAAGCTCTGATGTGCTGATATAAAATTATTTGGTACCAAGTTAGGAACAACAGTATCTAAAGATGAGAGAGAAGAAAAAGAGAGAAATCTTATTATGGGAGAAAAAGTAAAAAAGGAAGACAGAGGCATTCAAAGAACAGTCACCTACCAGTTCTACTCGTCCGAAACCTCCAACTCCAAGGGTGTCGATGATGTTGAAATCCGACAGCTTCAGGTTGGCGAAGAAAGCAGCTTCAGCTTCATATCTGGATTTTTTGATGCGAAAAAATGGAAATTTCTTAGAGGTGCAAACGCGAGTACCACGTACAACTGTACCGGAATGACATGACTGTGGAACAGGGTTTACCTGCTTACATTCCATCTTGCTTTTAGAGTCTGTGTGTTCTCACACTCATAATGTTTTGGTCCCCGTGGTGCAGAAAAACATAGATTTGCACTTGTTTTTCACAGGAGAAAAATACAAAGTACCCACTGCATGCCCGTCATGTGACTGATAAATCCAGTTATCAAATCAAAGTTACATCTTGGTCTTTTTCTACGCGTCTTCTTGTGAGCATGGACTGTCTGAGCTGTTCTTTTTGGGTTTTGTTTTGCCTGGTTTTGTTTTTGCTGTTCAGATTTGGGATGGCAGTTGCTCATTAGTTTCCTTTATTCCACAGGCTGCCAGTGGCTCCTATAAATATTTGCTAAAAGCAGCAAGATCACTGAAGTCTCTGAAGTGAAATCACAGCCAGGTTTTGTGAAAACAGATCCGAAAAGCTGAGGGCTGGTGCAAATGTCTGAAATGGACGGTTTCGGAAGCATGGTCACATTCCTAAAAGGTGTCTTCCCTCCGTTTATGTTTACCCACGACTCTCAGCTAGTAATCCCAGTGCCTTTATGTTTGCAAGTTTCCCACATGAGTGGTGAGGAAGAGCATGGACTAGGGTCCAGAAGTCTAACTATGCACACATGCAAATCTGACACTTACAAGTGGCCAAAATAAGCTTCTCCTGATGAGACAAGTGAATATGAGCTGCTTAAAATATCTCCTTGTTAAAGGCCCTGCTATTTTTAGAAAGGGCATGAAGGCGTGAAGATGAAGATGATCCTCCCACTCAGTAAAGTCAGGTCAGGGAGTAATTCAGCTGTCTCAAAAATAAAGTATTTGAATAGCTATGTGTAACCCATGACCTTCAGCCAGGCGGTACCTGAGTCAGTGTTACGCTATAGATAGACATGATGAACATGCTGGAGATAATGATACTGACACAGCTTGTTTATGTCAACTTTCAGATAGACTCATCCACAAGCATGTCTGGAGTTAAGCTGTAGAACATGTTAGCTATTCCATTATAACCAAGCACAAATTTAGACTCTCTGCTTGGGAGAAATGTGAAGTGGCTTTCTAGGTGAGCTTTCTACATTCTCCAGTTTACGACCACAGTTCCAGTTTTTAATAAGTCAGTTCTTGACAGAGTCGAGGGAAGGTAAAAACATTGTTTTTCATTGGTGGCTGATTATGTGAAATCAACTCCCTCTAACAAAGCTTTATAAACAAGACTACTAGCCAATCCTAATGGTATTTGTAGACTTCTCCCAATAGGCAATCAAGCGATCAACATAGTAATTTAGGAGATAGTTTACTAGAATGGAACATAGGCAGCAAATGTGCATTTCTAGCATTCCAACTGCATCACTACTTTTGGAAAATTAAAACTGCATCCCATTTAAAGGGCCAGTGGCAGAGTTCATTTCAACAGGTGCTAAAAAAGGACATCTGTTGGGATCAGAGCCCGTGACAGTTTGTATGCAGTCAAGCATTTGTTGATGGTCTAGAAAATAAAATTAATGAGATCATTTTTGAATAACATCCTATGTATTTGCTGGATGTAGAATCTCGGATATTAAGAGGGTAAACTCATTTGACAAATTTATATATATATATACACACACACACACACACACACACATATATATATAATGATGTTATTACTTATAGCTCTTGAAGACACCCCAAAATTTTTCCATTGGGCTCTGTGAAATTAGGCTAGAACAATCTCTGATCAAGTGATCTTCAGCCTTTTGTTGCATATCAGAACTACCTGAGCATCTTTTAGAAACCACTGAGTTTGGGTCCCACCACAGACCCAGTGTATCAGGTATCTCTGGATGCAGTACTATGATGCCTGTATATTTTTTTAAAGCCTACCAGGTTATTCCAATGAACAATAAGGGTTGAGAACCATAGTTCTAACTTCCTATAGAGCCTCAGGAGGTTCCAGAAACCACAGAAAAATTTAGGGGTGAATTAAAATGGTCCAGGGAAAACACTAGCTGCTCAATGAGTCTAGGGATGATTCATTCATGACAAGAGTGTTGGGGCTCCTTTAACTTGGTCTTGCCTCCTGACCTTCTAGAACTAGACCCATAGGAATGAATCATAATTCTATAATGGCTAACATAGCTATAAATAAGAAGATTGCTAAAAACAAAAATATACAGAATGCAAGGGTTATAAGGTGATTACTTTGTGTTCAAATTTTTACAGCAAAATCTTATTGACTTTGTTTATATTCACTATCTGACTACTGATCATATTTTAACCAATGGAATGAACATAGGAAATCTCCCGTTAAATAGTAGACATTTTCTCTGCAGCCATTACAATCTGCTTAAATACATACTGCTCCATATACTGGAAGAATCAATTATAGTTAAGTAAAATATTTCATATGTTTTAATGAAAACAGATCATTAACATTATAATCATATTGCTAATCTTTGCTAATATGACTAGGTGAATTTTTAAAATACTACCTAGTTGGATGCTTTTATCTGGTGGTTAGTGATATACAATTTAAGGGGCCCAGGGATAATTGTAGTGTTGATCCCCTATTCTATTCCAATTTGCTTTTTGCTTCAGGTCCTGATTCTTGGAGGAGTCAAACAATATAAGAATACTGCTAGAGCAGTTTCTCTCTTCCAATTAAGGAGATATTGTTAGTTGTTGAGTATTTTATATGCATTTATTTTTTTCTCATTTAAATTCCTTTTTAGAAACAAGAGTCACGTATTCACAAAGACTACACTTTTCCTGTCTGAATGAATGTTTTTAAACATGGATATCACTACCTGAAGGGACCTTTGTGTAAAAGCTGAACTATGGATGATTAGCTTCTTCGGGTATCTGACTACTTTTGCTCACAACTTAGCAGGATATTTTTATTTTCTTTTAACTCAGTAATTATTTGTAGCTAATTTGAATCCATCAATCCTGTCCTACTTTCTTTAGAGTTGATAAAAGTTTGAGTGGGGAAGGATACTTAACAAATTAGTTAAGTGGCCATTGTTTCATTAAACAAATTTATGTTGCCTGAAGGAAGTGAATGTGGAACCAAAGCTTCTAACTTGCTGCTGCGGGGCTGCGGGTTATCAGGCCCAAGGAATTAGGTTAGGCTTGATTCTACAATCCATCTGTGCAACAGTGTTTATGCAAGGGACCGTTGCCAAGTGCTAAGAAAAACACACAAGAAAGAAATATAGTTCTTATTGTTTGGTTGCTTAAATTCTACCGAGAAGCACAAAGTATATTTTCTAATGATCTTTAACCTAGTTTGACATACTGATTTGCTAACATATTTTGTTTGTTTATTTATTTAGCATGGGGTGAAAGGTATGGATCCTCTTCTCAGAAGAATGCGAATATTGACATACCCTTTCTGCATATAAGGTCAGAGACCTTACAAACTCCTAAAATAGGTTAATAACACAAAAATAACTAAACAAGAGAATAAGTGTACTGGGTGCAGGAGACAAGGCTAACACATTATTTCTCAAACGCACCTGGCCATAAAATTCATTTGGGGCTATGGTTACTAGAATCCACAGACACTTGCTAATCTACACAGGGTGCTGTTTAAATAGTGAAACACTGAACCTTTCTTTGAAGAACTGCCAAAGAGGAACACAGATGCCTAGAATTTCATTTCTGTCTGTACACCAAAGGAGGTTCCAAAAGCAATGAAAATATAAACTTGCAGGTGTAAAGGTGATGACACCAAGACACATATAGTCTAGGAACAGAAAAACAGTAATAGAATAATCTCACCCTCGCTCTAAAACTACATATCTGTACAGTATTATATTTTTTTCTCTCTCTTCCAATACTATCAGCTTCCACAAAACCAAGAAGTAAGAATGAGGGGTCCTTCATTATTCACCACAGCTGTTTTTCCATTGTTGCCAAGCATCCATGAATCAATTCTGTCATCTTTTCTAAACACTAGAATTGGGTTCTAGACCTTATGACTGACCATTATTATGAAGAAATGAACATTTCTCGCTATATATTGGAAACCAAATATGATGCTTCAACCCAGTCCAAAATGTATGGAGCTTAAAATTTTATCTTTGCCTTGATATTAATAGCAATTACTTAGCATTATTTTACAAAGCAAACCGTATTTGCATTTTATGGCAAGGGCCAAGGACTCAAAGGAACGTAGCAATATTCTCAGATGGGCAACAAAAGACTAATGCGGCCTTGTTTGCTTTAGTTCGGCTCATCTACAATCCGAATTAGCTTCAGGAGGCTAAGAGTCTCCAAGGAAAACCAAATAAATTATTAGCATTTCCTAATCCACATGCAACTCAGTTACCAAGGCTTTGCCTGGGCTCATTCTGCTCTGGGGTATACTTTTGTGTCCTGCTGAGTTTAGTTTTGTCAGTTTTTGGGGAAATCCACAAAAATAAAACATTTCAGTAAACACCCATGGTTTCTCATCTATGACTAAGTTTCTCATTCTATTGCTGTAATAGGTAAAAGGAGATTCAATCAGACACTCTCTACTCTGGACTTTAAAACAATACAAGAAAGGATCATAGCATACAGACAAAAGTTCAGGTCATGACTTGTGGTCCTGACTGCTTTCCTCAACGCTTAAGCCTGTGTAGAAGAATTGACAAACATACACTTACGTAAAAAAGGGTAGACGGTTTTAGTCAAAATCCCAGTTTATTTAAATGTTCATATAAATGCCTAGAAATTCTCTTTCACTTTTTGTTATCAAAGTGTGCAATCTATAAATAAACACGTAGAGAACTAGTTAAAAGGGGGTAAGAACTTACACCTGACACTAATAAATACTGTATGTCAACTGTAATTGACATTGAAAAATAAAAAAAATAAAATGTGGGTCAAAACTTTCCGAAAGTGAGCTTTAAACACAAAATATATAAACCTGGTCCATGATATGGGCAAGAT